CTGCTCACTGACGGTATACATCTCTTGCTAGTACACACAGATGTGTGTGTGCAGTAATGTAATATATAGAGCCATGGGGTATTGCGTGTGTTTGGCTCTCTCTTATTTGGGTATTGTGTGTGTTGTTTTCTTTTCCTTGTTCTATCAATGGGTACATATTATCACTACAAGCGGGATATTCCTTTTTCTTGCTTTACTGTGCAGTCACTGCTTCTCTCTCTCTCTCTCTCTCTCTTTTCCACTGTGAGTATTTGTGTCCTGTATTTATTCTCTTTGTCTCTCTCCATTTTTTACTTTTTTCCATACTCCCTTGTTAGATCTGTGAACTCAAGTGACACGGAAGACAACAAAAACAACAGGAAAAAGAAGAGCAATGGTAATGATGCGCTACGTGCTGTGTATCCTCGCTCTCCTGCTCTCATGTGCGTGTGTGCACGTCCTCGCTGAAGAAGTGCCTGCCGCCGATCTTTCCGACCAAGTCCCTGATACGGAGAGTGAGACAAAGATTCTTCTTCAAGGTACTCCTGTTGCTCAACTTACTCATTGCGCTAATGGTGGTACTAAATGTGATAAAGCTGACTCGAGACGTCAGGAAACACATGGACTTGGTGATGCTCCTGGTTCTCAGTGCCCTGCTGGTACTGGTGGTACACCTGGTAATTGTACTCTCCCTTCTTTGGAACCTGGACGGGTTGTCGGTGCTTCGGAGTGCCCTCCAAATACTCTTCGTACTCCTGAAGGTACATGTACCACTCCTAATGGTCAACATCCAGCAACACCATCTCCATCACTACAACCAGTACTACCACCACAACAACAAGTAAAACAACAAGGAGGACATCAAGATCAACATCAGGAAACTAAAACAGATGGAGCACATAACGTTGCTCATTCTGATGTGCAAGCAGACCAAAATCGTGTGAGCACAGGGGGTAACAGTGTACCAGCAGGAAGTGGAGGCCCAGGGAATACGTCATCCACAGCAGGTAATGTAGACCCACAGAACCCACAACAAAACACTACAGAAGGACAGGCAACTACAACACCAACTGAAGACACAACCTCATCTGGAGAAGGTGGTTCCAACAATACCAGCTCACAAACTCAATCGGAAAATGCAAATGAAGGTGGTGACAGTAATTCCAGTAATCAGACTACTGCATCTGCAGATACAACTGGAACAGAAGGTTCACAAGAAAATGGCAATGCTGATTCAACCACCACCACCACCACCACAACAACAACCACACTTCCTCCTGAACTCACAAACAACAAGAAGGGTGATGCAGACAGCAGCAGCAGTATCAGCAGTTCTGTGTGGGTGCGTGTACCACTACTGATTGTGGTTACACTGG